GCGCGCGCCAGCTCTGGGTATGTCTGCTGCCGCTTGCGGCGCGCTGCAGTGGCAAGGGCGCAGCCGGGCGAGTCTTCCCGAGGTGCACCTGGACGTTGGCCAAGCGGGACAAGGAAGCCTGCGCGGCCTGCAAAACTGGGAGTGTGCGTTCGGGTGTGGATGTTATGTATACGTCGTCAAGAAACGCATACAGGCCTTCCCCTGGGTGGAGGTGGGCATGGAGCTCAAGAAGCGCTGCATGTTGGCCGAGTGCGTACAATCCCGGCATGAAGGGGTCTCCTTGTTCGCCACCCTCCCCTTGCAGCACTTCGTGCCCCACGCCCTCCTCGTCGTAGTAGACATAGCGGCTGGCCTGCCCACAAAACATGGCAGCGAAGGGCAGCAAGCCGGTCAGGGGTTCGTGCGTGCGGAGAGCCTCCAGCATACTGGCCGGGAGATGTTGTCGTAGGCCCCCACCCCATCTATACTCAGCACGGTCGTCCGGGGGTCGGTTTCGGTCGCGGCTCGCAGCGCGCGGACGACGGCCAACTGTTGCGCCAACGTCCGGGCGGGCGGCGAAAGACGTCACCCATGATCAGCCCTCTCACCCCGCCTGTCGGCTTGGTCAAAGCAACCTTGCGGCCCAATCGCAGCGCGTCGGTCGGCGACATCTTGGGGAACATTCGCTCCCGCGAGTTAGTCAGCGGCGTGCCCGAGAAGCACCACGGTGGCCTCCTCATCCATGAGCACCCTGAGGTGTTCGTTGGTACACCCGGACGGTCCCGCCGCGGCCCCGCGTCGTGCCTTGCGTAAGTTGGCAAGCAGACGCTCTTTGCAGACTTAGGCGGGGGGAACCGACCGAGGGTCGAGACTCGGGTCGAGGGGGACCTGCGCAGCCGGCGGTCGACGCGCGGGGTCGCGGAGCGCCTGGAGCGTCTCAGGCGTGGCGGGTGCCAGCGGGGGTGCTGTGAGGGCCTTTTCGCTGCCGCGGAAATCTCTCCGAGATGTGCAAGCGCGGAGGCTCGGTCAGCCCGGCGACGGATGTCGGCTTCAGAGCCAGCTTCTGGGGGCACGCACTCTTTGGCTCCCGAGCTGGCCGGATCTGTTGGGCGGCACCCGCACTCTCACGGAGTAGCTCCGTCCACTGGCCGTCGCAAAACAAACGTTCGCGTCGCTTGATCTCCTCGGGCGGGACGTGGGTGGTGCCCGGGGTTCGGTATAACAGCATGCGGGGGGCCAGAAGAAAAAGCTTCCATCCCTCGCACTCGCGGTCTGTGCCGGCACCATCCCGGATTGCTTCGAGCGACACGCGCAGTGCGTTCCGCAAAAGGCCGCGGAGTTGACGCGGTGGGGACTGAAAAGTGTAGATTCGGTTCTCAAACTCCTTCAGCAGCGCGACGTCCCGCAAGCTTTGCAAATGCGAGTGTAAGGGTGCCGTGCGTGCGCAGCTGTGCCGGGAGGGTGGAGCAGGTGCCGCTCGGACCGGCCTATCGGCGTCACTGTCCGTGTCGATCTGTGTCGGCGCCGCCGGGTCGCCCGGCGCGACGGAGCCACGTTGCCGGCGTCCTCGTCCGCGGCCCCCACGGCCCCGCCGTCCTCTTCCCCGAGCGCGCGACGCTCGAGCCGTCTCGCCGGCGACGTGGGCGATGTGGGCGTCGACGTCAGGCTCCTGACGCGGGTCGGCATGCTGGTTGGGGGACGCGTTCGCGCTCCCCAGCGCCGCGGCCCCTCGCGAGATCTGTGCGGCACCTGCGTCCCCGGCGAAGCTCAAAAGCAACGATTCCTGCGAGCTCGCCGTGAGGTAGTGGTTCTCAATGGCCAGTGCCGCCACGGCGCCACGCTGCCTCCTGTGGGCACCAGCCGCAATCGGTGTGGGGGCGGCGCCAGCCGCGGTCGTGGGCGATTGCCTGTTGCAGCTGCGCGAGCGGCGCGAGTGGCCTTCGTGTTAGCGCCTCCCGGCTCGTTCGGAACCACGGCAGGCCTTCCCACTCCCACGTTGCGGCGTCCTCCAGCAGCCCGGCCGCGGAGAGCAGCAATGGGACGAAGAAACTTGACAACGAAGTGCTTTCGTGGTGCTCGGAAGCCGCCGGTGGCCCCCGGGCTTGCCAGTCAAGGCCCAGTGGCTCGGTTGCCTGCCGAGGCGGGGCCGCAGGGGTAAATGGCCATCAGGCTTCAGAACGTTGGAAACATTCCGTATGGGCATGGCTTCGGCTTTACGCCAACTGAAACACAACCCACAATCACCGTGCGCTCGCTGCCACTTTTTGGGAGCTTCCCCTCCAATCGAACTCGGTGCTGCTGGCCCGACCTGCAGCGCCGCACGAGCTCCTTGCAGATGGTCACTGGCAGGAGGCTCCTCAACCCAGCCACCGCCCTACCCGTGCTTAGATGACCTGAGGCCGCAGCTGACACCGGGACGTGGACCCGTTTGGATTTGCAGTCAAAAAGGTGCGCATCAAACAAAACCAAAAGTTGCCCTCGCACTGCGACGCGCAGCCGCGTAAGCAAGACCGCACTGGTACAGGCGAGTTTGGCGTCTGTCGAGTAGGGGACTGGAGGCGAAAACGCAGGCCATCATAAACTGCGCTGGGCTAAAGATAGGGGCATAAAATGCGGTTTGCAAACAGCACGGGCCAAGAGACACAGAGCGCCATGTTGTCCAGGAGAATGCACACACAGAGTTTTTTCCCCGGACATTTTCCACCGTCAGTCGCAGTCGGCGAACTGTCAATATGTTGCACCAACCCAAACTGTTTTGGAGCGCAACAATAAGATGGGTGTATGAGGTGTATGATTTCCCCACAGGCAATACCAAACCAGTCACGTTGGAGTTCAGGGAGATGGTTATGGGCTCGGCCGCGCCCGGAACAAATCGCCTCGGGTTTCCCCTGGTGGACGATGGACGGGGTGCATATGATAGCCATTCGAGGGTGAGGCACACATAGGAAACTGGCATCGCTTCCGATCATATTTTGTTTACCATGTCTGGCCACCTGCATCTCCAAACTTGTTCTTCTGCAAATCTTTCCGGCCGCCCAGAAAGTTCAAGGGAGTCGTAAACCTGGGCTGGGCTCGGTATGCAACCCCAGGAGCAGGCCAGCATGGGCAAAGGATCTGAGGGCCGTCCCGCGTCGGTTCAAGGCTTCAAAGCTCATCGCCCTCACGCTGCGCCGCTGGCGAGCAGGCCAGCGCGAGCAGTCGCAGGAAAGTGAGTGTGCGGCGGCTGACTCGCCCTCCCGATCTCTACGCCTGCCTGGTCAACGCTGGTCGGCTCGGGGTCAGGGCACAAGGGACAGGCCGTGCAGGCGCCGCGATCTCACCTAGCGAAATCGGAAAGTTATTGGTGGCAACCTCAATGCGGCGTGCGTCGCTCGCGGGAACATCAAGATTGAGGTCACGGAAGGCGACGGGCCACCCGAGCGCCCGCCCTATTTGCAGATGCGACCTGCCGCACGCTACACGGCGCCAGTATGATGGGCCGGTTCTGGGGGCCAACAAGCCAACTTGCGCGCAGGGGGAGCGATGGTCGCCACACACGTCCATACACGTCCCAAGCATCCCCCGCAGGAGCAGCGTGTCGGGGTAAGCGAGAGGGGCACGCGGAGAATGCGGGGTAGCCTGGAGTAGCATGATTCGGTACTGCTCGTCCGGCAATCGGGTGTTGGCACTCGTGTCTTCCTCCAGCCGGAGTGGTCCTGTGAGCGAGAACAAAACGGGCGGCCTGATCTACCGGTTTCCGCCAACCGTGAGGTCAACTTCCGGGGTTTGGGGGCTCGGCGTGCGAAGGCGGCAGCCGTGCCCCGCGAAACAACAGGTGTTCACCCCACCACTCGACGAGCAGCCGCTACCCCTCAACCACAGCGGCCCGCAGGCATCCACAGGCAAAGGCGCAGCCGATGCACCGCCAGTCGCGAATTCATGCGTCGTGCTGCGTCCGGGCGTCTATGCAGATTATCGGGAGGGGCTCTGCTCAAGCTGCCCAACAACAAAGCTGCGAGGCCTATTCGCGTACACACGGTTCGTGCTCACGCAACGTGCAAACGACGGTGTCCGCCCATGTCCGCCCACAAGCTCGGGTAGGATCGAGTACGCCGCATAGCGTGCTGTGCGGCTGTCCCAAACCTGATGCTCAGTGCAAGCGTGGCTCGGCGGTAGCTGAAATCCGGCAGCGGCATGTCGCCATCACTTCCCCAAGTCGCGGCTAGCGCATCGACCCTTCCGTCCAAGACCTCGATCAAAGCCTTGCCGGGCCCGGAATGGCCCGGGCGCAACGTCGCATGGCCGACGGCGTGCTGGAGGCAAGGGACAGAACGCTGCACCTGGCTTTGCTCTTGTTATTTTCCTCTTCGTCGTTCGCTTTGTTGTTCGGCCCTCTTGTTCATAATCATTTTTCCTGGTCCTTGGGTCCGGCCTCTCAAAACATAACCACGACCGTCCTGCTCAGGTTTGGACTCGAACAAAAGCCTGCCTTGAAGATTTCACATACTTGCACCTGTGTGGGCCCGGGTATGGGGTAAGAGGGGAACTGACACCTCCTGCCGGGCCAGGCTGAATCTTGGGCTTCATCTTGGTCCACTGCTCTTCTCAAGACGTGAACTCGAAGCATTCGAAGCTCTCCCAGCCACCCCAGTGCCCCTGCCGGCTTCAGTCTTGCCATGTTTCTCTGCGTAGCTCGAGATTGCTACATCTCAACAATGGCACAGTCTGCGCGGCTCCAGATGTACGGCGGAGTGGTCGATGCCCGAGCCTTGTTCCGGGGACCCCTGTGCAGGGCCGAAAGGCCCTGCTTTCTTCCGACGCAACGCCCGCCCGACCAAATCCTGTTCGTTGCCGCATCAGACCATGCACATGAACATGACCGGCCACGCCGCAGAGGCCGGGGGCGCGCCAACCGAAGCGGCGGACGTCGGGGCCGAAGTGTTCGACGATGGGTTGCAAGGTGACACTTCCGCGAGTTGCAGCTGGGCCACCCTCTGTGGGTAGCTAACGCCACGCAGGAAACTGCTGCGTGTGCCGCGGCCGCTCGACATCCTGTCGGGAGCTGCGCCGCAGACGACGGCACCGAGCGACTGACAATGTCCGCCAGACATCCGAACAACACGGTTGCTCGCAAGACCATGCTCGAGACCGCTTGGTGACATGGTTATAAGCTTTTGGAACGCCCGTCCGTGTCTGAGGCCGCTCTATCCCTGTTCGCCTCTTCACCTTGTGATTTTGTGGACAAAACGAGCGTGCCACGTGTAGGTGCGGGGCGACACATATATAATATAAAACTGGCCGACACACGGAAGCAGGGATTGCATGTCAGGGCTGTCGCGCCGAGCCTGCAACATGGACTGCGGTTAAAAAGCACCAATCGCCGGAGGCGCGTATTTCGGCCTCAACTGCCACAACTTCCATCCGGCATGACAAACGAGCATCTCCGCACATCTCCGCGTCGTCCTATATGCAGCCCGCGGCCAGCACGACGACGCGCTTTGCCGGTCTGGCCGCGCCAGGTGGGTCGAGTTTTTGCACAGCGAATCGGCAAGTCGCAAACGCACCGTTGCGATGTCCCCGCACCCTTTGGCTCAGAACTAGATTATCTCAAGCTCGATTCAGGGGTCAGGGTACAGTACAGGGGCCATGTCGGGCGGCATGATGCCACCAGCAGCCCACCTGCTACAGCGATAAAACGGCCATCCGCTGTCCGTTGCAAGAGATTGATGATAAGGAGCTTGCCCGTGAAGACGACGGGTCCATGGGGTTCAGTCCACAAGTTGGGTGAGTAGAATGCCGGATCTTGCATGTCGTTGTTGCACTTGGGGCAAAATTGGCTTGGACACCGCCAGATCATGCCAAATCCAACATTTTGATGCACTGCAACGTGTCCGCATACCTTCCACCGTCTGGGACTCATGCACACTCGACTTCTGTGTATGCTCGTCTACGTCGACGCCTCATGGCTGAGTCAATGCCTTGTTCGAGAGCTCGTTTCGAAGCCCCACGGCCGCAAAAGATCGCAAACACAGGAGCGGACATCTCGCTTATGCGCAAGAAAACTGTTTTGGAAGCGTACCGGCGGGCGGCGAAATGCAATTTAACAGGTCTCAACCATCGGATCGAAACGTCTCAGACGCGATCGATGCGAGGCGGTGCGAATCACCCCACCACTCCATTATGTATCACACAAATAGATGCAAAGGGTGGTGAGGGCGGGTTCGAAAGTTCTGTGCTCTCGGGTTGTACCTTACTGCTGTCACTGGTTCATGTCACTCCGTGCAACAAGTTGCACTACACGACATCTCGCTTACGCGCAAGAAAACTGTTTTGGAAGCGTAGCGGCAGGCGGCGAAATGCAACCGGTCTCAACCAGCGCATCGAAACGTCTCAGATGCGATCGATGCGAAGCAGTGCGAATCACCATAGGTGTGCCGCCTGCACCATCATAGCACACCGGAAGGCCCCTGAACCTCTCAGAGCCCCTCAAAAATTCTTCAAACACTGCACCCCAGTCTCACCAGAGTCCAGCCTTCGGCGCGAGCGTGGCGAAGGTCACCTCTGCTGACTGCGTCACTGACGTTGGCGGACGATGTCACTCGCTGCCAGGCTGGTCGCAGCGACATCATCTCGATGTAGCACCAGCTGTGTTGTAGCAGGCAGTTGATCGACTCATCCTTGCCGAACCCTTGGGAAAGTGCGTGGCGAGCAGGCTCGTTGTCGACGAACATGTGATGACATGCTGGTCCAATTCGCGCTGCAAAACGACTAGCGGCACTACCTGCGCCACGATCTCCAGCATGTAGATGCACGCTCGTCTGCTCGAGAACTGGATCGCGCGACGAAGCCCGAGCCGTTGACGAAGAGTCCATGGAGGAGTCCATTTCCAGGGCGGTATCCCCTCGTCCGCTGGTTTCCAGTCTTTCTCGAAGGGGTTGAAGAAGGCGTCTGCGTAGACGACCGACCTGTCTTGAGGCTCGAACTTGAGCATGCGAGGCGCAGCGTGATGTAGACTCCAGCGGATCAGGCCGATGCCGTGGCGAAGTTGATCGTTCAGTCAGTTCAATCGCCAGTCGGCATTGTCCTGCCGTGGCCTGACAGCTGTGCTCTGCGGAACAGCGGTCTCAATGCCGCAGCATCGTTATTTTCCCGTGGGCGACTGACAGAAGAACTGCAGCTTCCCCGCCAGGCTCGAAACTTCGTGGGGCGGCAAGCGGTTCGTGGTGAGAACTGCGACAAGGTCCTCGTCGAGGATAGCGCGACATGATGATGTCTCGGCTTATGTTCGTCTCGCCGTGGCCATCAAGAAGGCTGAGCCGACTGCAAGCTTCTTGATATGGGGCTTGAGCACGAGTCCGCCTCTCGCCAGCTCGCTGCTGAAGATCCAGATCACACATGGGTCATACTGCTTACGCATTCCGGAATTACGCTCCGGAGGCATTCAGTTTTGATGTTTGGTTCAGTCGCTTCGGTTTGGGCATAATGTCTTGTGGCAGACCTCATGTCATGGCTTTGTCGTGCATGTCTCTTCACGCCAGCATTGCACTTCGTTGATGATTTTGGAAGTTGTGAAGATGATCAGCTCGCAACATCGTCTTTCGATTGCTCAAAGCGCCTTTGCCGAGCTCTAGGGTTTTCTTTTAAGCAGTCTAAGGAACAGCCGCCCGCGTCGACGCAGGTGATCCAAGGTTTGGACATCTCAGTTCACGACGACTACATCATGTATGGCACTGAATCGCCCACCGTGGCTGCTGACGAGGCAGCTGGGTCGGCCCACGGCGGTGCGATCGGCGCAGTGCACAGCAAAGTCCTCCGTACCACTCAAGGCGGGCCCTGGCCATCGTCATCGTCGTTGTTCCCGTCGTCCTGCGGTGCGTCATCGGTCCGGTCCGCGTCCTCGCTGTCCGTGCCCACGTCGAATAGGCACGCCTCTCCGTCCTCGTCCGAACTGCTCAGCGGCGTTGAGGGGACTGGCGGCATGGGCCGCTGCGGCGCTGGTGCGACACTCATGTGGAACTCGAGGTCGGGCGCTATCATGTCAAAGTAGTCCAAGGATGCTGCCGAGGGCCGCGGCCTTGTTGGTGTAGCCGGCGCGGTCGCCTTGGGTTGACCATCAAGTCGATGTCGTGTTCGAAAGTTCTGTGCTCTCGAGCGATCAGCAGCTGCGGTTGTGCCTTGCTGCTGTCGCTCGTACATGTCACTCGGTGCAACAAGTTGCACTACACAACAAGCTTTGCTTGCAAGTTGCACTGTACCACTCTAGTCACTAAGGGACATAATGACGGAGGTCAAGGATCGTACTACCTGCATGGGAAGGCATGGGATGACCCTGCAACACTGCAACTTCTTTTGGCACTTCGAGGTGTGCGGAGGGCTTCGACCGACTCTTCACGAGGCCAAAGTTGAAGCTACCTCAGGCCAGCCACTCATTTCTGCCAAGCACATCACCACACATTTCACTGGTCGTGCCGAGGGCTGCACGCAGACGCTCTTCAAATTTCTGAGTTTGCAATGCCTGGCACGCATACAACTTCGATCAACTTCGAAGAGTGATCCCACCCATACGAACTCATGTCATGTTCTCATATGTTCCCTGTCGAGCAGCAAGACTTCCGGTTTGGAGACTTGGCGAGGCTGCAAAAGAGAGCGAAGTCGGCTCGCTGCGGGCTCCGTTCGTTTCTCTGTCGACATGTGCCACATCCCAACTCGTGCCTCCTCAACCACACAGATTCAACGGGAAGTTCCAGGCACCTGGAACTCGAAGGACACCTGGCCGCCCTCATCGTCTTGGAACGCCAGACGCTGCTCCAGCTGCTTCCTCAGAGAGTCTCCCGGCTTTTAGCTGTGCCTCGCTCGTCGAATCCTGGGAAATCTGGGGATGCGACACTGACAAAGCTTTTTCGCACGCTGCCCGTGCAAGCTGCGCCTCCGGCAGAGCTCGAGAAAACGAAAAGGTCCCGAGGCAGGAGATGCAAGAGGCTCCGTCGCATCTGCCGGTCGGGCATCTCCGCCTCCAGTTCTCGCGTCTGCTTCTCGAGGCTCATTGCCTCAGAACAGAATCCCCGTTAAGACGAATGTGAAAACCGCAGACTGCTCTGCCATGTCATCGGGTTATATGGGGTTCCCCGAAGTTTGCCTTCTCCTCCTGGCTGATTCGCCGCCAAGCCTGAAAGGCAAGTGGGTGGGCGCTGGGTCTGTCGACTCTTAGAGTCCAACGCTTCCAGGATTCCATCTGAGCAGACTGCCGCAAGGACTACTCGCCCAGTGAAGGGTTGCCTCGACAGAGCCTCTGTGCTAGTTAGCATGAGGCTCCAGTCGATGTGCGATCTGCAGCGCATGCTGAGGCTGCAGACCAGCTCTGCCGAGAAGAGTGTCCTGCCGTGGACATCGATGGGGTCCTCTGATGGCTTGGCAGTCGCCAAACCACCTCGGCTCCAAATGGAGGGAAGCGTCCAGAGGGCGTCCAGCTTCAGGATCCCCGAGGCCCCAGCTCCAAGCCTCGAAGGCCTCCAAAGGAGACGCTTCAAGCCGCGCACTCCGAGGGCCTTTTCTCTCGCCTCACGGACGTGTTGCCAGTGTTGCCGCCGCAGCTTCGAGCTGGCCTCGCGAGAGAAGGGCACGTCGCGGAGATTCGTGGAGTGCGGAGGCACTTGGCACTTAAATGCACTTAAGGGCTGAGAGCTGAGCAGCCCAGGATGCCCAGCGGCGTTGATGTGCCTCTGCGAACTCTTCGAACTCAGATACTGATGAAGTGCATGTCAGCTGTGGTCACCATCCATTCACATCAGACTTTCAGCCCTGACAGCCATCCCGCGAGCCTGACCACAGCGACGCATGTCCTGCACTGGTATCCAGGCCATCCATCAGTCTGCTTGGCCGTCTGGTCAACCCTGTCTGACTTCCCTACATTAGTTGACCCTTCGGTTCCCTGTCTTGGCCCCAGCACGCCTCCTGAAGCTTCAGGTTCGATGCCTCTCTTCGCAGGATGCGCTGTTTCGCAGCCCTCGGAATGTTTCGAGAATCCAACAAGCTCACCCCGCACGAAAACTGGGCTCCTTACATGTAGGCAGCCTGGCGTCTCCACCTGGGGTTTCGGGACACCAAGCCCGATGTCGCTAGACTGGGTCAGGTGGGTCGCTGGGACATGGGCCACGGAAAACAACGTTTTACCTGCACAGGCCCCAGCAGCACCGGTGACCAAGCGCAGAAGATCAAGAATCTTGGATCCCGACGAGAAAGCGTCCAGAAGACGAACTGTCTGAAGCGTCTCGAGCACCGAAAGTTGCAGTCATCGACAAAAACCTCACTTGGCATCTTTGACCACCCTACCACGGACATCTGTATCATAAGTGGCCAGGGAGCACGGTGTCGGCCAGCCTCGCCTGTGGCTTGTGAAGCTGCAAGCAGGCAAGCATCTATACAAGCATTTGGTTAGAGCGTTAGCCAGGCCGCTAAGCCTCCTCCCGCCTTCTCCCTGGACAGCATGTCCATGGATGTCGACTGCTGGCGCTCGACTTGCTTCCGAGCCTCAAGGCCGTTGCTGCATGTTGCTGCAAACTTTGCAACTGCGCATCATGGGATAAACGCAAACTCAAGCTCATGTGGACACTGATGAAGAAAGCCTCCGGCCGTCTCGATCACCTTCTGCGCTGTGAGTAGCGCTGCAGTTCGAGCCCAGGCCCCGAAACAAACCTAGGCTCGTCCCGAAAAACACTGAGTAGAGACCCAGAAAAAGCGTTTCCAAGTTTCCGGCCCGGGAACAGGAGACAGTATGCCGGAAATCATCCGACCTGGACTGAACCTGAGCCCCCCACCCGCGAGAATGCTCGTTTGCGCGGGGCCCACGACTGTCCGCGCTTTGCGAGGCTGAGCTGCCTGGGCAACCTTTCGAAGGCTCCTAGCATGACGGACCTGCCAGAACGTGGCAATCTAAAACGTGGAACACAAGAAGACACGACATCCAGACGGGGACTGCACCACTCGGCGCTCCGCCACCTCAAGTTCTGAATGCCGATGCCAGGTGATCCTGGCACGAGGATCATCACTTGAAGGCCCTTTGGACTTAGGATTAAAACAGCTGAAACGCCAGGGCATGACCCTGGCTGATGTAACTGCGCCGGCCAGGGCTGAGTAAGGACGGCCAGCTGCCAGTACTGCAGTGCTTTGCACAGCACGAGGTGATCCAACCACTCGCCGGTCTTCAACTCAGCACTCACACAGGGCTTGTGGACTCCAACCTGACATGCGGTGTCGGCCGTGTCTGTTCGAGTCCCGCACACAGAGATTCGCAATCTCGACCTCCGCCCGCTGCTTTCTGAAGTGCTTTAGCTTGCTCTGCCTCAGCCAGTCAAGTCAGGAGACCACCGGTGCGCAAGGCATTGCAAGGCACACAGCTGCATGCTCGAAACATCTTGAAAAGCACCCTTGCTCGCATTTCTCGCTTCGGAGGTGCTGGCTGGAAGCAGGTGAAAGCGGCTCCTGTTGGAGCTTCATGTGCCAAGATGTGCCAAGTCAAGCGACACCTAGGAACGTCACCTCCCTCGCGTCGTCGGATGGCTTTGACCCACGACAAGGTTCGCTAGCACTTCAAATTCCAGAGTGCCAATCCGGGGACCAGTCCACATACATTTCAATCCAGCGGTTGCCTCAGCGCAGATTGCTCGTTGAAGTAGGCGTGTAGACTTTGTTGAGCCGGGTTCGAGGCCGAGATAGCCTCGTTGCTTCTCGCGACGTGCACGGCAGGCCTCCTTTTAGAGCAAACGCGGTAGAAGTCAACATTGATCTCGTGGGGCACCTGCCTCCCAATCCTTGAAATAGACGAGGGCATGGCCTGTGGGCAAGTTGTCGCTCGACCTCCTCAGCAGGAGCAGATCACCCCTCACTGCGCAGGCTCCTGGCTCGCAGGCATTCCCAACCTGATAATCTCTACATCGCCCCTGACATCGCTGTCGCCAGCCTCAATATGCAGGTCAAGTGTCTCTTGGATCCCTTCACAAGATTGGCTAAGGTCTTTGCTAACTCGAAGCCTTGCAGAAAAGCACGGATGTCCGCCTTGCATTGCCAGCTCTGGTCATCAGTTGGAGACGGGTGTTCAAGAATGCGTGCAAGTGTCTTCCGAGGCGGCGAAAGGCAAACCCCGGAGTCGAAGGCGTGGGGACCAGGACACGCCTCCGCACGGTCTACACGAGCCCGCCATCCCTATATAGCCTGCATACTCTGGTACTATCTTGTACTCTTCTAGCTGAACTTCTGCAGGGGTGGGCCACGGCGGTCATTGGAGCTGCTGCTCGTGTCTCTAGACTCTAGACTGAAGCCAATGAAAGTACAAACGAACGAGAACCAACATCAAACGCCCTTGGGAAAGCCGGGCCCTGCTGCATCCTCAAACCAACACCAATAAAACTGAGAGCGGCCCGCCGTCGGAAAAGCTGCAAGCAGTGGAGCGGCCGGTAGAACCCTCTGCCCCCCCCCCTCCACTAAGTCACTAAGTGGTCATTCTTGGTTTTGCAGCTGTGTTCTGCTTGCTGAAGGGGCATGTTCCCATGCGACTATGTGGCAAGGCCCTCACCCACATCGAACCCCGCTAAGCCAGTGATTCTGGCATGGGAGCCTGCCACCGACCCATGTCCTCGAGGACAACAGCCCATCCAACTTCTTGGAATGGGAAGGCACGACCAGAATGCCCCCCAAACTTTCACTCCAACTGAGCCACAATGAATCATACCACCCCGCACACGCACACACAAACACTCCAAAAGCTGCATCCTTCCAAAGACAAACTTGTTAGAGAAGACTTGCCAAGCAGAGCCATCGAAGCTAAAGAATCTCATTAAACTATTGCAGAATGCTGCTCAATTACAGAAATAGCGCACAGCAAGGCTTCAAGGATTCCTAGACTTCACCAGTAGGTGCCTTGGCACACGATACGCCGAGACCGCAATGAAATTTTTGGTGGACAAGGTGTCGTGCCAAGTCACTGGCAGCGTTGCATGGCCTGCCTGACCGACCTTGAACTCAGCCATCGAAATAAACAGAGAAACAGAGAAGATTAATCTAATGACCACGGACCGAACATATATGAACTACTCTGACCTAACCAACCTAACTGCACCGGGACCAAACATCTGAGCTAGCCGTCGAACGAAACGAAATGCATCACGAAGCAGAGCAGATGCCGTAATCTGAGCATGCACCGATGCATGCCGGATCAAGCTGACATCTGGGGCCCTTGCTGTGAAGCTGTCGGCTGCGCCAGATTGCTTCCATGCATGACCGTGGTGGCAACATGCCGTTACCAGAACCTTCCGAAGGTCTTAAGTGACAAGAACCTCGTCATACCATCTCAAGTTCCTAGTGGACCCTTTTGCGGTGACATGGGCTGACCATCTGCACTTTGCACAAACATTGGTTGACCATGCAAACATGCGATCAGCCTAGCTGTGGAGATGAAGCCGATACTTCGACAAGATCCAGCACCAAGCTCAAGCTGTGCGTGGGTAAAACGCTCAGATTGGGGCAAACCTTCCGCAACTGCCTCACCCGAACAACTCGAGGGGATACTTGCAGTTCGAGGCAATGCACGCTTGCAGCTAAGCAAGCCGTTGCGCTCACAGCACGTACAGACGCGCAACGGCTCCTAAATCGTAAGTCCCCCGCCAATGCCCACCCTTGAAGCACGGCCCTCATTGCATGTCACGTGCACATGAACCGTGGGGAGAATTGTGAATGTACTCTACTCTGGAAAATTATCCTTTGAGATCCACATGGCAGGCCGTCAAAGGGGTAATTTTCTAAATTAGGGCCTCTCTTGGGGTTCTTTTGATAAGAGTGCCGTACTAAAAAAAAGGGTAGCCCAAAAGGGACCATAAGAGAACTACCCATATCATTGCTGATCATGGCTGTACTCAGTTCCGGGCCGCACGTCCTCGGCCTGCATGCTCCCGCCCAAGACGTCTTGCTGTGTGATCCACGCCTTACTTCAGAACTCACCACAGGGTGCACCTTCACGTACGGGCTGCGTTGAGCTGACTGTTTGTCTACATGACATGACTTGCACGGTCGAAGGACATGTGTTCTGCGCAAAATCACCTAAACAGGTAGACAGGCATAGGGTAAGTGTCTCATCTTTGTACATGGTACACTTGACTGATGTTGTAATTGTAGTTGATCAGGAGGAAGTAGACTCCTGGACATCGAAGTCCTCCCGATTACTGTGTTCTCAGGCAGGCTGACATGACCTAACGACTCCCAATCTTATGTGCTCAGTTCCTTGTCTGCACCGGGATTGTAGCTTCCTCGTGGACAACTGGAGTTAAAATCGAAGACAGTCTGTGCAAAGCAGGCATGTGGATTCAACGTGCCCAATCCACGTCACGACAAAATCGAAAGGCTTTCGTTGGCAGTGCCATCCGGAATGTCCATTCCCACCGCATGCAAATACAAGTAACCAACAATCCTTAGCCCCCTCCCTCCCTCTGGTTTCGTCTCGTCTGTAAACGGCTTGTTGCTCAGCTTGCAGCCAAAACTGCCTTGGAAGCACGCCGACGAGCGCGAGCACCTGGGCTCCAACATTCTGCAGAGGCTTCGTTTTCAGAGACTGGCAAGGAAAGGACTTCACTTCTTCACTTCAGTTTCAGTCCCTGGCTCTCTTCTGTGAGCCTGGACTCGGCCTTGAGTTGCTCGGATGAAAGCGCAGACAAAGCAAAGATCGCTGAGTCGGCCGCTAGCCGCGTTCCCTCCTGCAGCTCCTCGAAAGGTTTCGATGCGAAGCCCTACAAGCATCGCTCGTAAATTCCTTCGTTGCAGGGCTGGTCCTGGAGAGTGGCAAGGTGCCGCAGATCCTCGGCAGCCTTGAGCCATGCCTAGCAAAGGCATGGCACGAAAGGTCTCTTGCAGCATGGGTGTGTTTCACTTTCCGAATGTCACGTCCGAACCTGCGACTAACATATACTTCTGTAGCATTATGGGCCTCCAATACGAAGTGCTTGAGTCGTTCCACATCTCGGAAGTGCCGGAAAACATGCTGCTTGAACTATATCTCCGCAGCTTGGTACTGAGCCTGCAACCTTTTGTGCCCAGAAGAGCATTCACAGAGGAGGAGATCGGAAGAGGAGTTCCATTTCGCACCTTGCTGCAACGGGTTCGTCTCCGCACCGCAGAGATGAACATCTTTCAGTTCAACAATGAGGCCTGTCTCATCAGGGCATCTGCCTGACAACACACAACACGAGTCTGCATCATCCGGATGGTGCGCTGGTGACCACGCCAGCGTTCTCGTGCCTCGCGATCGACATCTCCTGGGCTGCCAAACTACTGTGCAAATACCTGTGCGATCATTCCCTAAGATGCGTATGCTGTGCTCGTCAAGGTCCTCGCAAGTGTAGTCATCATTGATGCAGCACTGCAGCAGGCATGTCGGCTCTGCAGAGTTACTGGGCTGCCAGCGTGCTTCTTTTTGCGTGCTGCAGGCCCAAATTGCGAGAACCTGGACATCATGTCTACATCGCTTCCACTTATGCCCTCTCCTTGCAGCTCTCCTTTCCCTGGAGCTTTGTCGCGTCCATCGCCTACTGACATCTTCATCCCGTCACAGGTCGTCTTCGGGCGCTTCTCCGACGTGCCATGTCTGAAGCTGTACTGGGGGGATCCGGATTCCGAGTTTCCGAGTCCAGTCCGGTTCCGTATCCGGGCCAGGGTGTTCCGGATCCGGGTTCGGGTGTTCCGGGATGTTCCGGGTTGGTGGGTGGGGGGTTCTGGATGTCTAAGGACGAGAAAAGCTATATTATGAGTGCTTTGCGGACACTGGACTCTGCCTCGCGGCAGAAGCCGAGTCGCCATAATCGAAGACGCCGGAGAATAGCATTGGCGCAGAGCACACCTTACAGGGCAATAGCGCTCTAAATGTTCAAGCCTGCGCATTCGGAGCTGTTCGAGAGCTCAGACCGCAGCGCTGTGCCCTTGTTTCACGCTGCATTGGTCTGACCTGGTCAGCTTGCACGAGCCATGCCCGAGAAGTTGATGCACTTCTGAATCAAGAGTTGGGCACATCTGGCAGCCATCTTTTTGAAGCGATTCCCACATCAATGGGATGAAGTCAAGCATCGCAGAGGCACACAGAGAAACGATTCACACAGGCCAAAGCGAGGAACTGTTCGAATAGCCCGTCTCGAGCATAAGCGCAACATGGCAGCGACTCCAAAATCATAACATGTTTTCACGTGCCAGATTGTAGCTGTGAAGCTTTGGCCTTTGCCACAACTTTGAATGACTCGTGGTCGAAGACTGTGGAATGTCTCGGTTTGTGGCACAAGCATCCATCAAATGGGACCCTGCGGAAAAGAGTCGCTGCAGCCAAACTCATAGACCGTGGTCTGTCGGTAGACTTCGCCTGGTCGTAACCTTAACTTACTGACTTGCTGAGATGCATCAGTGCATGCAATTTCTTCTCGGCTTGTCGCGTAAAAAGCAGCCTGAGACCAGCACACGACCGAAGGGAAGTGAGGCCGGTTGGCTGCCTGCTATGCACTTAATGAATGCGACATCATGGATGGTATAAGCCATGTCTTCGGTCCGAACATGTCCGAACACAAGCGGTAGTCATCGCCAAGTTGCATCCGGAAATTGTTGCGCTTCGAGGCAAAAGCCATGGTGCTTGTGATAAGCACCTTTTCCGGCGCGACCTGCTGAACACTGCTTAGCTCGACCCAGCTTTCTTGCATCGTGAGCATGGAAAGCACACGTCCCTCAGCTCTGAAAGCGGACCTGCGAAGCCGTTCAGGTAATTGCCGGTGTAAAACTGCACCTCAATGGCACAAGATCAAAGTGTACGAGTACAGACCTCGTGAAGTTAATGTAAAAGGATTTGCGTGGACTTCAGAAATCACCCACTGCAGCATCAGTACTCCCGGCTGGTTCGTCTTCATGGACATCCAGCGGCCGCTGCTGGCATCCCAAGCCTGGGAAGTTTCGAACCGCAGCCCGCATCGATAGCCAGGGCCAGCTCTCTGAGTTCGCTGCACGCGCCGCTGGGCGAAGCCCCGATTCCTTGGGGGGGCCCAAGACATAGTTGTGGTCGTAGCCAAGGCCTTCACAACGCAGTCACCAAGCAGCACAGTCCCGACATGCACAAACACTGTGCTTGTGAAATTGGTGGGGAAGGAATGGGCTTGGCGTCCAAGCGAGTTGATTCATAGTCCAACAGTCCAGAGCTGGACATCTCGCCATCACATAAATGCAGTCGAACATACCGGGCACAGCTCGACATGCACGCACCCTGCGGGAAGCGGCCGACGGCCAAACGCTTCCGATGTCGCATCTCGAATCGAACATTCCGACAGGTCTGAAACGACTCACCATAGGTGTGCTACCTTCACCAATACAATACGCCGGCGGCTACGATGACGTGTCAGCACAGGCACGCATCGGCATGCGGAGCAAGAAGGCGGGAATGAAGACCATATCGGCTAGCTTTCCTGCTTACGGAACTTGTGTGAGTAAATTGCCAAAAGCCTGGCTCATCGCGCTCATGCCATGTGCGACGTGTGTGCAATTGGTTTCAACACGCTAATGCCGAATCTGATTTGTTTGAGTCTGCCTTTTTTTCTTGAATTCCTGTTGAGATTGAAAAACCAGCCGTGCATCCTTAGCAAGCTGCAAGCTAGTTCGCATAAGTGTCGCCGCTTGTGTTATTTGAACGGTTACCCAAGGTTTGGTCACCTCTAAATTTGGTCAAGGATTAGTAGCCCGTGATAGCCGTGACGCGTGGTCACCGGGTCTTTAATCACAGGGATTTATGATCACAAGGGTGCAATCAATCACGGGCACCTATCAGCGATAACCCTTTGCAGAACCACTGCGGGATAAATGTGATCACGGAAAAGCATAAGCGTGTCAGCGAAGGAACCACTCCAGGATAATTATGATCACAGACAATATAATCCAGAAGAAAAAATCGATCACAGCCAGGGCCAGTGAACATGAACAGAGGCTGAATTATCACGGAGTAAACAGAATAGAGGTAACCAAACCTTGGGGTAACCGCTTTCCGTCTTTTATATTTGCTGCGTTGTGCAGCGGAAAAGATGAGATGTGACCTGTCAAAGCCTTAGGAATACTCCAAGTCGGCCCTGTGCCTTCTGATACCCGGAATAGCAAGTGAAGTGTGGCAAGAGAACAAGAGGCGAAACACTTTGAAGTCTCCAGCGACAGCTGCTACGGCAAGTGCTACTGTTCCGCACCTTCAAGAATAAAGGATACCCACATCACAACCAACAAAAATCAAAGGAGATAGCACGAACAGCCCAGGTTTTCCTGGGCTCGACGATGTTTGACAGCTGGGTACGTTCATTCTCCCTCCGCCCTCATGTCTGTCCTTCGGGATGCTGACTGAGGCTCAATGGCACACGTTGGCGACGGGGAATGGCCCTCTGGTGCTTAAAACTTGCTTAGATGTCGTTGCTTCCCAGGCTCAGCCCGAAGGTGTTGTCGAGTGAACAGAACTATCGGAATCGAACATCACGCCTGCCATCTACCCAAAAGAGCTCTTCCTTTCACAACTATAAGCGTCGAGCCGTTGTCAGCCGCCCGAATCTGAGTGCCTCAGCTCCAACTTCCTCTGCCTGGCGTCTTCAACCAAAGGCCTTCTGCCAAGGCACCGATCCGAGTCTTCTGGCGCAGGTCCATGGCCCCTGAAACGCTCCGAACCTCTCCGGTGGGAATGGAGGTCTCGTCCACTGGCCTCGGCGGCATGGAGGGAAACAAAATGTGCCACCACTGCCGGTGTCCACATTGCTTGTTGCACCGCTCAATTTCGACACAATTCCCAACGAGGATCGTATAGAAATCTGCAAAGATCTGAATCCTTGCATGAAGGCCACTTTCTGTTCAGAAGCTGAACTCGGAATCATGCCCGCATCAACAGATGCGCATCATGTAGGCCGCATGTTCTCTCCAAGAATCTCATGATTGCAAACATCCTGAACGCCAGTGCCACCATCAGCAAGGTTCCAGTATGCCTTAGCATGCCATGTTGAGGCTGTGCTGGGGCTGCAGGGAGGAATATTTTTATCAAGCAAAACCCTGGGATGGGCGATGGGCACCAAAATCTGCAGCAATTGCTGGACCCAAGAAAGCCATTGGAAACGAAATCAAGCGGTGACACCTCGCCTCGAAAAAGGCCATGACGAGAGAGCCCCTTGAGACCCCTTCACATCTAACGAGAAACTGCTGGAAACCCGACGACTTCCGTACGCCGTACACGAATGGATCAAATCTCAAAGAGTTGGCCCGTGGCTGCAAGCAAAGAGCGTGGTTCGTCAGGTTGCACAATGTTGGCCTCGGCTTTGAAGGCACTTTGCTTTTTTATTCAACCACAGTCGCTGCCGTAAAATACGTTTGAATGGTGCATCCGAGCGGCGCATCTGTCGTCGCTTCATATTCCATCTTCAACGAGCTAGACGTCGGCAACGAATAAGTCACCCTCACGAGGCATGGATGGTCAATTTAGAGACGGCACTGCACGAAACGCGCGTTCCCCATACCCTGCATGTGAATACGGACGAGTGCTCAGAGTCGAAACAGCGAAGCAACAAGCGGGACGCGTGGCGCGAGAAACAATCCAAGCAGCACTCAATGATGCCCTGACCCTGAAAGGAGTGATAAGACCCGTTGAACAGGCCCTGAAGCCCTGAAATCCTAAAGAGGCTTTGTTGGACGCCGAACTGCAAGTCGAAATAGGGAAGGTGGCTGTCTGTCTGAAATGCGAGGACTGCACCACCGGACCACCGGACCAAGCAAGCGCCCTGCAACTGCCACTACATGTATGCCGCCACTGCGTGACACTTCAGCGAACATAGGTGCTGGCACCTGGCACGGAGGTTTCCCGGGTAACCCTCGTCGCCGTCAGGCGAGAGCAAGGAGAGCGTAATGGACGTCGCATCCGATGCCTTGATGGGCAACCGATCATACTAGCGCTGGCGCTTGTGTGGTTTATCCTCCTGAGAAGGCAGCGTCGCAGGTCCACATGAGCTTGTCAAAGCCCTGGTTGCCTCCATGAAGATGGTTAGGACCTGAACTAGAAACACAGGTCGCGGAGCTCCCAGAGAAGACCCTGAGCTCACGGCCGTTGTTGGCCGCAAGCTGATAATCCTTGCCATCGAGCGTAAACTTGCCTCAAACAGCGAAAGACCAAACAGCTGCAGCAACAACAACAACAACAACAACAACAACAACAACAACAACAGCAAACAAAACAAACAAGCACTTCCATGTGTCAATTCGCTCGTGTTGATTTCCACTTCATGCAACATCTTGTGGCCTTTGGCAATGCGATTCGCACATCGTCCAGCGACCTCTCAGAAAATCTCAGAAAGCTGACAGGAACGGATCTGCAGGCCCCGCAACTGCACAAGGGACTCATGGAAGTGAGGTCGCTTATCGCTAGCAACAGCATCGAATGCCCAGGCTTTCTTCCTGCGGCCTGTGGTCACGCCAAGGCACAGCGCCGAAGTAAGGGTTTGTAGTCCAGTCCAGATACGCCGCGCCGTCATCGTAACCCAGGCAAACCTGGCTTAGCTGGACACTGCAGGCATCTGCGCATAAGTTCGAAAACGCCCTAAGCCCTGCTCTATTCTGTCTCCAGCGTTGGCAGCTGCCTCTTTGATCTTGCCTGCAGAGTCCGGGACCTAGGCGACAACGACAACGAACTGCTCGCATATCCGGAACTTTCGCTGGCAAAGCGTGCCTGGACAGAGGAGACTGTGGCGCCAAGGTCAAGGACCCGAACCTGCAGGAACCCCCATGAACCCACAGACGTCTACAACAAGCAGAGAGATACATTCGACCATCATCGGCAGCACGCCATCCTACGAGAAGGCTTCCCAGTTGCATGCCCCCAACCTTGCGGCCTTCCGGATCGACACTATTCTGTTCCTATGAAGACGTCTGTGCTTGGTAGGCACTTCATATGGTGTCCTCTCGACCTTCTGAGACAGATTTGAGATTAAAAAAGTACGAGTTCTCCAAGCAAACCCCGTCCGCTGTGAACGTACACTCTACACTCGGTCTGTATAATGAAGTTTGATATTCTGCCGCATTGTGCTACCTGGCTGGCAACCCTGCTTCGTTGTCTTGCTCACCTTTCGGGGCAACCGATGGGGCCAATGACCTATGTAGCTTAACAATAATCTTCTCGGACGATACCTCGTCTTACTGCTCGAGCCCTTCGGTACAGCTCTGTGCAACCATGTGTGACTCGGTGCTACCATGTACAAATATGAAACCCGGGCTTTGAGCATAACTTCGACAATAGGCAGAGCAGAAAGTGCCCACCTGAGTTTGACTGGTCATGCCTGTGTCCTTAACAATCTTGCTGTTTGCCCTGTTTGTCAACGGTTCCACACTGCCACCTGCGCCTAGCATCCTCAAAACCATCACGTGACCCATTCAGCTGCTCGAGCCGCTGATGCGTACGACGTGTTTCGGGTGTAGTGAGCTGATGTAACGCCAAGGTGGTTGGACTCCCTCTAGGGTTCGTGCATATCGGTACATTGATTGCTTTCCTGAGCTGACGTCCGCCAGAACGAAGGCATCGCTTTCTTCATGAGAGTCTCTGCGTCATGCAGTCCGACTCGGAAACGACTTCTGTTTGCTCTGTCAATCTTTTGTCCAGCATCGATGTAGCATGTTGATGTAAGTAAAGCCGAAGAGCTCTTCTGTGCAATGCCTTGCGACTTCGTTTTTGCATTCCCCTGCTGCGTCTGAACAAAACACTTGGCTTGGTCACTTCATTTTCGTTTCAACGTTCAAGACCCAAATCGTCCTCCAAGCAGACTCGGAAAAATTGAAAAGACTATCGCGGCAATGGGTACTGTAGATATCTGTAGATACTCATCACGGCACTGTTGAAGGAGGCACTGCAGAACAAAGAATACAAGGTCTGCAGATCGTGCCGCAATGCGCGTGTGCTGCTGTCATGGGAGCTGGCAGGGCGCACCGTCATCGAACCATTGCTCAGCGTATACGCTGTGATCGGCTTCCCCGCGTTGTTTCCGAACTCCACCGCCGGCGCACTCGAAGAGGATCCCATGGCAACTCGTCTCTATGCGGTGAGCGAGGGGGTCGGGAGCTAGGGACCGTGAGGTTCAGGCTGGGCTGGGACAGTAGTGAGGGTCACTGGGGCAGCTTCGACTGCTTTTTTCTGCGCCGCTCATGCTTTCAAATTTCCAAACGTGATATCTGACCTGGTCTAGCATGACCTTGTATCCATGCTAACCCTTGGACCAAAAAGCCGGACGAAATCGGTGGCTGAGAGATATGATCTCGGGGCCTGCATGGAACATCGTAAGGAGCTGAGAGCTGCGGCCTCCTCTTCGAGATCTCGGAGTCGACTTGACCTTGGACGCTCTGCGCTCGGTGCCCAGGATGTTACAAAGAAATCTGAAAAGAAAACCAGGGTTGGAACTGCTCCTCCGCGTGACGAGCGAGCATGGCGATGTCCATGCCTTACTGACATGTCGCTCCTTCTCTGCCTTCTCCCCCAAAGGCCCTTGGTGCACTGCCTCTTACCTCAGAGGCCCGAGCCAGCGCTCCAAAGGCGCCACTGGCTAAGGCTGCTGTGCTTTGCAGCGGCCGTCTGCTTTTGCCACTGGCACGGGCAAAAGATGAATGACGAAGCCAGATATTCGTCTCACATGCAATTGCGTCCCAATCCGTGCCGGCCAGGCGAGGATTTGGAGAAGACCTGAGGCATTCTCTTGCTGACACTCATTTTCGTTCCCTTCTGATTTTGAGCCTCGCACACACGCCAGTTTCCAATCTCATCAGCTGTTCCGATCGCTGCGTGCTCCTTATGCGACATCCAACTCGACTCCGCAGCTCCGCAGTCGACCCCGCATCCGCAGGCTCCGGCAGGATCCTTTCCTGGAGCCGGCGCTTCTCTTCGATCTCAGCCTCGACCTCTGCCTCCAGGCAAGACCTGAAGCGAAGCCGCTATGCTGCTGTGCCGCTACGAATCCTGCGGAATTGGGGCACTTGCCTCAGCTTTTGCACCCAGCTCACCTGGCACGGCCCAGACTCGCTCTCAGGCTGAATATACTTGTAGCTGCATAAGTTCGCACGAGTTCCAGATGTTGCTGACCGGTCGCGAGGCGTCTTTTCGTCACTTCCGTGCAGATGTCCCACAAAGTCTCTCCCTGAAAGAAACGAGATTGTGTCTGTCTGCTTCAACTTGCGGCAGCGCCCTATAGCAGGAAGCCCAGTCACTTTGTGACAACTTACCGCTAGCGGTGTCCGTGCTGTCTTCGGCTTCGGTGACAGATGCACAAAAGGCCTCAGCCTCATCGACTATAGCACTCAACACCTGCTCCACTTGGCCACCCTTTCCAAAGAAGTGGCTCAGGCTGTGCCTGTGTTGCTCTTCAATGCCAAACTTCCTACGCACGGAACTCAGCGGAGATACCACTTGCATAATCAAGCTTGCAATTGGTGGTTCAGCGTCGCGATTCACTGCGTGTATGATCCGGGCAAGTTCGGCCATCCCTCTCAGAAAAGACTTGTGCGCGCCCTGCTCCTGAATCCTGTTTGGCAGGTGTTTGGATCCCCAGAAAACTTTGCCCGGCCGACCGTTCTCAAACTGATCAGCCTGCAGCATCAGTAGAGCAGCCCCGAAGCCTGCAGCATACGTCAGGGCCAGTTGGACACGCGGAGTCCACCAGCTCGGACCGACCTTCTCGGCAAAACCGCCGAATGGGAGACTTAGGCTCTGAGGGACTTCAGGGACGTTAAAGCTTCGCCGCGCATCGGGCAGAGGCGGCGGAGTCATGCTTAACTTCCGCTTCTGGCCCGAGCCCGGCGATTTACCATTTCCAGGTGGTGTGGGAGTGGTTGGCTTCCGTTTCTGTGCACCAGTGCTGCCACTCTCAGTGCCATGGCTTCGGGCGGTTTTCGCCTCGATCTTCACCTCGGCTGCAGCTTCACTCCAAGACTTGTGAAGGGGCCTGACTTGACTGCATTTTTGAACTAGAACTACAGTGATTACAGTAACAAAGCAGTAGCAGCATGCGAGATCATGCGAGACTCCCCCCCAAAATCATCCGAATCAAGCTCGACGAGCGAGTCAAGAAAGGACTGAGGGGAAAAATCATTCGCTCTGAAGCGGACATCCAGGTCTCAAGCCTGCCCCACACGGGCACAGGGCACAACTGCCAATACCCCGAACGGGTTCTCATTAGGCCGGGCGATGAGTGCTTGAAAACCCAAGATGCCAAAATGCTGGCATCGGGCAGGGAGTTGGAAGACACCCCCTCCAAAAGCCATCGATGCACATCCGGCGTGCACAAAGATCACGTGACGGAAGTGCACCCCACCCCCACCCCGCCATCCCTTCTTGCTTCAGTCGAGTCACGAAAACAGGGACCGGCACCTGCTCCGCTTTTGGAGCGCATGCCTGCTGGCCCTTCAAAGGGCCGTCTGCAGGAACTTCCGGTACATCTTCTGGCTCTACAGACAGTTTGATCTTCGCGCCCTGTTCCTGGAGAGGAACCGGCTTGGATACATTCAGATCATTGGAATCGCACGAAGTCTCGTCTGCCTGCACGGGTGCCCACTGGGCAGCTCCATATATTTTACTTCAGAATGACGACAGACCTGCCCTTCTGCCTGAGGCCATGTTGATCTGTGTGACCAACCCACAGAACTAACTACGAAAACCAGTCATGTCTGCAAACGGTCCAACATCGTACAGCAAGAGTTTGCACTCGCACCTCGAACGCAATCACATCACCCACGTCAGCAGGAAGCGCTTGCGGCACCATCGAGGCATCCGGCACCGCAGGCACGCCATCCTTGCTCCTGTGAAACGTTCGTGAAGGCTACTAGTACTTCCAGTAGCCAGTAGAACCAGAAGTGCTCGGCTTAACTACAAGTGTGCAGCCAAGTCACTTTTCCCACAGACAAAGATGAACTCCCGACATTTCAGCAGATTGGAAGCCGAAGTCAGCCAAGTCTTCCTGGAAGGGGCACACCACGAGGCTGAGCCGTTTCATTGCTCCTCCGAGGCATTCGAAGACTTTCTGTGCAAATTCCCGCTTCATGGAGGGGTCCAGATTCGGAGCTTGTACAGAGGATAGCCACAAGAAACCTGCTGTCCGCGCTCGAACGCCGCATCGCTGTTTTAATGCATCCAGCGGCCGGCCAAACTCGTTGAAAAGGATGGGGGCGAGACTTCGCAATGCTTCAGGAGCAGAGTCACAGCCACACGATTGCAGAAAGGAGTCGTCCCCTCCCCTGTAGATGTAAACACCCGTCAGATAGGCAACTTGCTGCCCTGCTTTGTTTCGCAGCTGCGAGTGCAATTCCTTCAGGGTGCGTCATGTTCCGGAACACCGCAGACGCTTCAGAAACCCGAGCGACAAAGCCTCACTGGCAAACCCCACCCTAAAGCCGGCTTTGAGCTCCAGGCTCTAGACTCTATTCTCGAAAACTCCATCACATACCCTCACCAACCCGCCTACCTTCAACCTATGTGCATCTTATGACTTCGAGTTCCGAATTGGTGGCAGGATCCACATCCTCGAGGCCAATGCTTGACTCTGCCATACGGAGATGCAGTGTGTAGTCTCCACAAGACAGCGGTGGAGGTTCAAAAGTCTCCGCGACTGCCTTCAGTGGAAGCCCAGCTGCCCGTCTGAAGCGATTGACCCGATTCCTGGACACGGAGGTCTTGCCACTCTTGCATTGCTTCAACCTGCGCCCGACAAACCGCACCAGATATCTCCAGGGCTTCCGCGGGCTTGCCCCGCAAAGCGCATCCTTCCTGTAAGATTGGCACGCCATGTACGCTGAAAGAAGCACCCGTTCCGGTATGCACGTCACAGAAGGATATGGTCCGAACAGCTACAAAAGGTGCCAAAATAACTATACCCTAGCGCATCTGTGGCTCATGCCGAAACTGTCAAATTGGAATACAACTTGTCAGGCTGTTTGACTTCCTGATTTTTGCAACGTGAATGTCCATGTCGAAATGGCTTGCTGGTTTTCTTATCGAATCTGCAGGGGGCTTCAATTGGATCTGCCATGCTTACGTGCTACACCGAGGGCCCCCACGATCATAGCGTCATGACGACTAGCGGGTCGCTTGTGCATGCACCGGTGGGGCTCAAAGGCTTGCAGCTCAGAGCACTCACACATCCGAATCGGGCACAGCAACATACAGCTACACTCTGCTGCGTGGCCTCGTGCAGTGCTGATCCGGGATCGAAACGCTCTGAGACCCGCCTCATTTTGGCAACACTTCATAGCACGTTGCATGCGCTCGCCAGCAACGCCAACCTGAGGTTGCTGCAGTCGCGACCATTGGAGCAGGCAACATGCAAGCGTGGCTCCTCAGTGAGCGGAAGCATGCGAAAGAAGGGCCTTTTGGGATCGGAAGGGCCGGGCTTGAGAGCTCCAACTTCCTCAGTGTGCTAATCAGCCCATGGCAGGCCTCAGAAAGGCAGATGTGCTCTGACGTGCTCCCATCATCTCCTACGAGTATCTCCATGCGAGACATTGGGAGACTCTTCGTTCCGCGCCTCCTGGCGCCTCGCGCTCGCCGCGCGGTCGAGCCTCTCGACTCCAGGCGAGGCAGCATGGGCAGAGATCCGTGTTGGCCAGCTGTTACTGTCAGGACTGTTAGACCACTGCAAGGATGACACAGGCAGCAGTCACTTTGCAGATTCTGGACGCCGAGCTCAGAACAGTCTCTGTTCCTCTTTTGCCTTGCTGCGGGGCCACTACTCTAGGCAGCGGTTGGCTAGAGTCATAACCTGTGCTGTTGCATGTTCTTGCAGCGCCGGTATGGGTTGGATCATCTCAGGCCACGGCCCAGCGCCAAGAGCGAAGCCTCAAGAAACAGAACGTGACAGGCCAAGTAAATGAAAGAGGAAACAGCACGATGCGGCTGGCAGACACAGGGAGCTGCGCACTTTGTGCATTGGGCGCCGAGCACGTGCACAACCGTGCAGTTCTGGGTCAATGCTGCTGATCGCTGCACCTCAGGCAGCGTGGAGCACAGGCTGAGCTCTTGACCGTGCAAATCAATGCAAATCACAGGGCAGCGCATCAAAGTCTCCAGTCTGTCAGCTGCAATTTCTCGGCTTCTGACCGACACTGATCGCATTGCTCGAAGAAGTCGCTGCTGATGTCGGTGTAGCAGCTTCTGCCGTCTGATTTGAGTCCTGCGAGATCTGAGATGGGCTTCTGAGGCCTCAGGCCCAATCGCGCCATCTAAAGGCTGGATCCATCGTATTCTGACCCAGGTCCTGCGCATTGCCAGGGACCTGACCACATGAAAGTGCAGCAGATCAACCCTCGGCAACCACGGACTGAGGCAGTGGCCAAGTCAAAAACACGAATTCGTTAAAGCTGTTCTGCTCACAGCCTGAAGCCGAGATGGGCACAGGCAGGACAGGTGCAAACGCCAGTCTGCGGAACGAGCCACTAACTGCAAAAACGTGACAAGCCCCCGGCAGAAGTGGAGAGTCTTGAATTTCACGAAGCACGCCACGTCCTTCAAGGGAACCACAGCGGCCGTGAGCCAGTATCAAATCTATCGCCCTTGTAATCCCTTGCATGCCTGGCGTTGCTGCTTGCAAACTGCAGCCTCCGGATGCAAGCAGGATCAGCGAGTGACCGGTATTTGTGTCGTAAAGCAGGCGTGAAGTATACTCGGATCATTGGTCAGCGACTGGTCCACTGCTGTGCTCCCGGGCCAGCTCGCACCAAGCGCGGTGAATTGCTCGGAGCTTTGCCGAGTCTGATTGTCTCTGCATCGCGCTGCAGAGAATGCACCTGGATTGCGAGGGCATCGGGATATGTGTTCTGCAGCTGACAAGGCATGACAGCACATGGATGCCTGAAGATCTAAGGTCGCTGCTTTCTGCGACTGCTGATCGCCGCCTTCCCTCATAGACAAGCAGCCAGACACGAGCTGAAGCTGTTGAGGATCATGGTGGACTCGACTGCTGATCGGGTTTGCTTCCGAGGTGCGGCTGACAAATGCTTGTTTCTTCCAACTCCGCCAGCTTCGGAGCCTCAAAATGAGCACTGCCACAAGACTTCTGCGACTTGCTGATACCGCCAGAATCTGCCAGACTGTCGCCACACTGTCGGTGTAGCTCTGCCAGGCTATCTTGCACCGTGCCAACGATGACCCCTCGAATATCCACTCACTCTTTCCAAGTATCCCAAATCTCCTGTGTCTATAACTGTCTCACCACCTTCGGCTTGGTTTTCGTCGCCGCTGTGTTTTGTGCCTCGCGTCCTGCTTGAGTGCTGCGCTAGTCATAACACGAGGGCCTCTGAGCATCGTGAGCATCTTTGGGCGCCCATTCGAAATCTCGTTTTGGGCTGTGTTCCTCCAAGAACCAGGTGAGCACCATGGAGGGCCGCTACCACCCTGTTGCTAGAACACGCGCAAGTGAGGGAGGTCAAACTTGCGGCCAATGACCAAGGCGACCTACTTTCGCTTCATTTTGCGGTGACGCGAGACGGTCCCTGGAGGAATTCGCAACCGTGAATCTTGTCTGAGCTCTCAATTTGCAGTCCACAAAGCGCGACGACTCTGCACTGACTGCTCCTCCATGCAGCGTCACAGTAGTGCGCCTGAGGAGATGTCTTTGTCCTCGAAGTAAACGATTTTCAAGTCTCTTCAAATGGAGACCCTTTTCCTGGCGCACGAAGAGTTTTGAGTTGCACTTGGACTAGAAATCTGCGCCGAGCCTCCGCCCTGCCCCGAAAAGACTCCTGAAGTGCCTCCTGCAGGAAAGCGAGCGCACAGCATCGCATTCCCGAGACTTAGGTTTTGTCTTGTCTCGCACATCAAGTTCGATGATGCCTAGGTGTAGGGCCAGTGTAGGGATCAAACCTAGAACGAGATCTCTGTTCTGAGAATCCTGGCCACCATGCTACTGGCAGCCCCTTTGCTTTGTCCTCTGACCTGACAGACCTGCCAATTTCTGAAGGCAAGAGGGAGCCTATTCCCTCAAATCCAAAGCTCCATCATGGTAGCACTTAGGCCCTGTTCCTGCTATGCGCACCGCCTACACTGTTGTCATGATATGCCGAGGCCTATTCAAACAGCTGCCGTATCTCCTTTGCTGCAGACCGTGACTACGGGAACTGTGCTTTCGACCGCTCTATGTCAGGGCCGCACATCTATGACATCTGGCCTCGCTGCGTTCGCGGGCAGCGAGCAGGTCAGCCATGACGGCAGCCCGTGAAACTTCCTCGGGGTCCGGCATGTTCCGGCCATTCGGACTCTGTGCAGCACACTCCAGCGATGCCCAACATCTGCGGATTTGGCCAAGCCGCGCGACGAGCCACTTGCACTGCTTTGCGCCAGCGATGCCAGCACTGCAGCTTTGCCTCGGCCCGACCTTCGAAGTGTAAAGCTCAGCGAGAGGAAACCGCACATCTGCGGAGCCAAGCCACCCAGGTCCACCTGCAATGAATGCATGGCCTCGCCCAGACACACCAAAATGTGCTGACATGCGCCACAACAACATGCAACAAAGCTCGCCGCATCTCAAAACCTCTTCATCGTAGCTATGGTTCATGCAACTGTTCATGCACGCTTCAGTTGGCGGGCTTGCAACTAGATTTCGCGATTCCGCCGTTCGCCTCCCGAGTTTTCCCTCCTAGGCTTGGGTCTGCTGTGCCTAAGCGAAACACCGCTTCCGTAGACTGCTTCTCCTTCTCTATGTATGCTTTTTAAAATCATTTTGATCTGTTCCTTGCATGCGTGGCTTCCTCCGTGTCTTCCGCGCACCGTCCGGCTTCGGTTTTGGAAAAAGGTGGGACTGTGCCTGCGGCACATTCCGCCAACAAACTGGCATTTGGTCCAAAACGCACTCAGCCGGAGCTCAGATGCACGAACTTTCAGAAATACGCAGCTCCGCGAGACAACGCCGGCTGCACTGCAGATGAATGCAGACTGTTTCTTCAAGGGAGCCTCCGTCCAAGACGAGCGTGCTTTCCAGGCCTCGCACGAGCAGCACATAGCAGCACTTTCCAAGTTCCACATTCCAATACAAGCTGTGCAAATGCTGAGTTAAAGGCGCTCCAGGCGGCTTTCAACCATGATCTCTGCTGACCCCGATGGTGTCTCCTGACTGTATCCTAAAACTGCCATCCAGGTTTGCATTCAGAAAACGAAGCCGGCAACGCAGCATCTGCCCCAGCTGGGCTTGCTGATGTGGCCCCGCACGCCGATTGTGGCTCCTGCTTGCTGCAGCTTTGCAAAGGTGCCAAAGACCGAATGCGGGCGTTTGGCCGCGTGCCTGCTACAAAGCCCAGTTCGTCTGGCACCGTCACCTGTCACAGAGCGATTTCAGGATTTGCAGATGAGTGGTTGGCATTGCTGGCCCTACATCAAGCTTCCAGCTGCAGTCGATTGCAGTTCTATCCACAACACTGGACGACTGCGACTGTGCTAAAGAAAAGCCAAGACACTTGAAGGGCGGTTGCTTCTGGCGGCCTGGGATTGGACCCCCCAGAACGGCCGACGAATATCATGAGATTTCCAAGACTGTTGCGCAAGGATTATGGTTGGCACAAGTCTCCCAATCTACATTCCGTTCAGAAATATTGAGCCGCTTGCCGCGTCTAGATGACTTGTCAAAGCCGCATCCAGGCCTTGACCCGACTGGGAAGGCCAAAACTCGCAACATAAGCGGCTGCCACCACCGAGGCTGTAGCTCGACACCACCGCGGCCCCAATCCGGAGCCTGGATATCAGCTTCAGAAGGTGCTCTCGTTGCTATTCCTGACCAGTCCATACCGGGCCTCTGAATGTGTGAGAAGAGCTGGACAGCAGTCGTAGCCTGATCATCGCACGGCCGTGACGGCAAGCAAGTGCTGGCGTTTATGCGAGCGCTGACCTCCTCCATCGTCTGAGCCAAAGGTTCCAACGGGCGCGTGCACCAAGCGCTGTCAGGAGTTCCATCGGGTCAGCTTGGTATGGCTTGGTCACTTCTTATGACGATATTATGTTTTTTAGCAGAGCGGCGAATCACGGAAAAGGCAGGCCGGCTAGTTAGTTGCAACATGAGCGCTGGCAACACCTGTAATAATGGTCCTATGACTCCGATCAGTCACTACCATGGGCCCGTCACTAGTACAGAGTTCACGCGTGCATCGTATGCTCTGGTATCCTCTGGTATGCTGAAGTTCCGCTGAAGCCCGAAACAGCGTGGCTGAGCGTCCGCCTCAAACCTCCTTGCACGCTAGATGGGCCGGGTGCCCACTCACTGCCAGGCACAGGCACTGGCAGAGAAGTCATGTCGCTTTCCTCGTTCTGCACAGTATATAGATCACAGACAATCGCTGAGAGAAATGGGGCTTTGCCTCTCAGCCACAGGCCACAGGAGTGCCGCCTTGAAGTTCAACACACAAAACAAAACTAGCTTAACTAGCTAGGACTAGGGGTCAACCGGTGCTCCTGCGTGCTGCGTGTGAAACTTCTAGGCCTGGCCGAAATGATGCCCTTCTTGCAGTCTTTGCTATGAGCATCAGGCGAAGGCTGAGGACTGCGGTGCTTCCATGTTCGCACGCTCAGCACCGGAATTCTTCCAAATCTGATCGTCCGTTGAAGGCGTGCTGGGCTCCAGTCACGAGGCCTTGGTTTTCGATCCGACATCACTACAGAACGATGCTTTTCATGGGGTCATCTTTCTGCGCTTCTCCGCTTGCCGTTTTGACCCGTGTCTCTTGGTCGAACCTTGTCCTGCCTTGTGCAGGCAGCATTGGAGAGGCTAAATCGAAATTGAGTCAGCAACTATGGGCCCACCACACCCATCCCTGCCAATGCAGGTGAAATCTCCTTTTGCGAAGACCTCCCACACTGATTTCCTACTCTTGCTGTGCCACCTTCTCCGCACGGACTGCTTCCAATTGCTTCGAGATTGGTACCGAGATTAGTACTTAGCCAACGCATTGCAGGAGTGCTCAGGTCTGCGCGGATCGCGAGGGCCAAGCAGGCCTCAAAGTCGCTCCGCCAGTCCCAGTCTGAGGAGGTTGAAACCCAGGCAGCCCGCCGAACCTGGCAGGCCAAGAACGTGCAATCTCTTGCTCTGAGGATCTCTGAGACTGCTCCAAGCCGCGAGCCATCTTTCCAAGTATTGGAGACGGTCTGCCAGTGAGCCCGTCGCTGCATGATGCGCCTGCAGAGGCATCCGAGTGGAACGAAGGCCTGCGTTAACCCTCGCTCTCGCCTGCTGCTTCTGCTCCAGCTCCGCCTGGTCGTCAAAGCTGCGTCTGCATTGACGGAGGCTTAGGCCCTTCGGCCCTTCGGCCCTTCAGGGGCCCTTCAGGGGCCCTTCGGGCCTTGGCGGCACGCAGCTGCCCTGTATGGTGCTCAGCCGAATCTCCTCACACACATGGTGACATCTCCCTCGCATGATGGGATATGGCATGGTGCCGGCAGCGCTGCCTAGAGCACGCTCCAAGAAGTCAAGCCGCTGCTCGAAAGAAGCATGCCTTTCGACAGTTGCCTGCACCGTGAAGACAAACTGCACATACCGCCCTACTCTTTCGTCCTGTTCCAGGTGCCTTCTGGTTCTGGGCCTGCATTTTGTGATCATCAAGGTTCCTTTTGTGGTCCTCCAGATCTCTTTTGTGAGCTTCGAGCTTTTTCGCATGCTCATCAGCAGAGTCGCCAATGAGCTTTTCGATGTACTTCACCTTTTCCTGCACAGTTCGTGTAAAGCCACCTGTGCCTGCAAGCATGAAAATTCGAAGAACAAAGGCAGTCCTCAAGAGAAGCGTGCTGCTTGTCCCGGCCGTCTTTATGCGCCTTCAGCTCTCGGGAGTGCCTGTCAGCGGAGTCTCCGAGGGCCTGCTCCAAGTAGCGCATCCGCTCCTCCAGTGTCGCGTGATGCTTGTCTCGGCCTTCTCGGAGTCCCTGCTCATCCGACAGCTTCCCATGCAAAGCTTCCAGTTGCATTTTGGCTTGCTTCAACTCTTGACTATGTCGATCTGCAGAGTCACCAATCGCTTGTTCCAAGAACTTAAGCCGCTCTTCCACGGAGGCGTGCTTATCCTTAAGCGCTTGGGCAACATTAGCATGCCGGCCATGAGCATCATCGTGGCTGCGGCGCAGCTCTTCCAGCTGCTTGACATGTGCTGCATGCTTGTCCGCCGAGTCTCC